ATGCCCAACTAGCTGTAAAATGTACTATGAAAAGAATTTCCTTCTTGTTTAAGGTTGCCCAAGAAATGGCCTTGTCTCACAGATGAAGGAGTAAATCATTTTCATTTTTAGATATACATACCTCATGCTATTTTATCATTTCAGTTTAACCATCACAAATGCAATATAAACTTACATAACTGCAGCATAAAACCAAAAATACCCACCAAACACCACCTCTCTGCAGCAAGCAGGTCCCATTTAACTGATATTCTAATAGTTCCTCTTTTGTTATTTGATTTAAGGAGAGTTTAAAGGTTAACATGTTTTACAGTGGTTTTATAGTATCAGGTAGAAAGTGGAAACATAGAAACTGTTTCCTATTGAAATGAATGCATATTTTAAAACATGATCAGAGAAATCGGTGAGTGGAATTTCAGATAGAAAAACAAAGTTAAATTTATGGTCTCTGTATTAAAAAAAAAATTTAGGAAATCCTCACTTTCACAGGTAATAGAAACTTAAGATATTTTTTAGGTATTGTACAGCTGTTAGGAAGTGCAGGTCATATGTATATATTCTAATAATATATGTACAGGCAGTAATTTTTAAATGTATTTCTCATAAGGTTTGAAAATATATTTAAATAAGTTGTAGGACAGAGTCTCTTTAAATCTTCATGTATCAAATAGCAATAATGAGAAGGTTTTAGATTAACATCATTAGCTTTTTAAAATGAAGATAAGATATCCCTAGTAGTGTATATCTCTAGCAGTAAGTTGTATAAATTATCCAAGTTTTTTTTTATGTACATCTATCCTATAATCCAAAATTAAAATATAGTCATATGGGTATGCAGAATATTACCCAGTTCTAGTTTTAAATGTTAAATTACTTAAAATCTTTTTTATTACATGTTTCATTTGAAGAAATTACAGTTTAGTTCTTCTGGCAAGCCTTTAAGTGAGGTTGTCTAGTCTTATTTTACATGGGAGTCAACTGAGATAAAGAAAATTCAAGTGACCTATACAAACTCCATTATTGTCTGAGTTGAAAGCCCAGAAAGAAAATAATAGCTCCACTGAAGAGAAACCTAAAACTTTGAGATGGTTCAGGAGGGCAAGATTCTGCTGCAAGTTTTCTATTTGTGCTGCTAAACTGTTTTCCTTAACATTAAAAATAAAAACCGTGGCTGTAGTATTTAAAGCTGTGAAGTGGAAGGCAGTATTCAGAATTATTTATACAACAGTAGCCTTTCAGAAACTTAAACTGAGTCTGACATTGAAAGAAATTTGCACAATTTTTGCAATAATTCTTGCTTCCCAGAGATAAAAGTACGTTCTGAACTTCAGCTTGGGCTCAGCAACCCTTCAATTTTCAGTTGTGAGCCAGGCCCCTGATGGCAATGCAGCTGCTCAGGTCTCCAACCACCACTTCAATCACCACCAACAATGAACATAAACTCTGGAATTCCCTGGAGCTATACAATTAATTTAAATTTTTGTGCAGTTTGGAAAAGAGGGGATTAATACAAAACAATGTTAGAAGAAAAAGCTCTCAACTTTAAAAGAATCATTTTTCTTAGAGAACATAATGAAAAATTTCCGCATGTAATATGAATTATTTTGACAGGCTGTGACATTTCTGCTGGAAATAGTTCTGGAGGGACACTGGATGGGCTGTACTTTGGTCCTCCTTTGAAGCCAATAGCTTCATATCCATGGACTTCAATCAGAGCAATATTATGGCAAGAACCTTTTATAACTGCTTTTATTCTGGTGTTGGTTTATAGAAAATAAGTTTCTGCAGTTGCACTAGCAATTCATTTGTTTGTCTTTCCAATAAGTTTTAAATGTATTTTCCAGTTTTAATTCAATTTAACAGAGGATGCTTGTCTCAAAGATAGTAAATTTCTACAAGTTTCATGAACATAAGAATCTGGGTAGAAGACCCTGAGTCCTGCTAAGGTAAAGGCAGAGATACAGTGACCTTTAACCATTCCGTGTGGGCTGCCCAACAACCAAGAGGCAACAGCTTGCATATGGTAGCAAACTAACCATGAAACCATGGGTTAATCACAGTATGTTCCATCTTGTAAAACCCGAGTTTTACAGCTAGAGATAAGGTGATGTAGGGAATGTAAAGTGACTAAAAGCTCATATTTTACCAGACATCAAACTTGGCCCTTAGTGCTTTCAATGGCAATATATTTATCCTGTACTTGATGGAGAACAAACACAAGTCTTCCCTATCAAGACTTGCATCTCCTTTACTGCCTTTCAAAGAGTATATTTACTCCTTTCATGGAGTATACTTACCCCACTGACACTATTAAAATGCTTCACTCCTTGATGACTCTTTTGTCACGATCTCTACAAGTACAGCTGCTGAGTAAAGTAGTTCAATATGAACCAAAGCAATTCATAAAGGATGAGCCCTCAAGAGCCATTAAGAACAATAATCAAATACAACTTCTTGTTCAAGAAATTATTAATTTTATTATTGGCAGAAGGGTGAATATATCAGATGACTCCACTCATGCCTGGTTCTTACATACTTCCCTGAGTGTCCTGTACTGGCTAATGATTGATCTTTCTCATTAGTCTGGAAATGATGCAATACCAGGAATGGGCACAGGGCCAACCCCATTTCCACTCCCCAGAATCCCTCTGAATAGTCACTACATGGAGAACATATGAGAGATTAAACTGAAAAGAACAGACACTATAGTGGGCTGTTATTTTGGAAATAGGCTACTGGGATGGATGGACCTTTGCTCTGAGCAGCATGGCCTTTCTTATGTTCTCTGGTCTTATAAGCTGTTGAAACTTGATTTAAGGTCGTATTTCATGCAGAAGCCTCTGTTTGACACAATCCAGCTCTCCAGGACCTGCAGCTATCGTAGAATTATGACTCTGTAAGTTATAACTGGTGCTGTATAAGCACAGAAGAACTGAAAGCATAAGTATGCTGCTTAGAGAGTAAACCCCTCATCAAAAAAGGAAGTTAAACCTAAGAAGTTCTCTGTCTTTGAAGTGTACTTTAGCTCTAAACTTGAGACCTCTATAGAACTACCTTCTACATGGTATCACATATATATTTTTCTATGTTAGTTTCTATTTTGAGTGCAGAGTCGTAAAATTCCTGTTGGACATGATCCCGAATGTGATGCTGTACTGTTCTGTAGCATCTGGAAGCTATGGAGTTGCAGTAAGTATCTGTATGTGACAATGTCATAACCATGTGGGTGCATAAGACAGCTCATCTACGCATGATAAAAGAGGGGATCAGATGAGATAATGCAAACTAGTTCATCAAAAGCATGGGTACCATTCTTGAAGTCATCTGGCCTCGTATATTTGCATGTCTGTCATGGAAACACTGTATGGTCAAAAGAGCAATATGATATATAGAGTAATACTGTCACATTATTATTTCTTACACTGTTTTGTTTTTTTTTTTTCTGAGGCAGAATAACAAGGATAGTCAAGTATCTCCAATAATTGAATCAACTCCCCCGGATTTTCCTATGTTAAGAGAGACATAATGGCAAATTATGGGGGATGAGATGTATTTTGTGGAGCTTAATCCTAAATGATTCATGTAAAAAGAACATTAAATGTAGTCAGTCAGTAGTTCTATGAACAGAGTACTTGCAAGACTCTCTTATTTCTAACAGAAATATTTATGTTAATTACGGTGAAATTATAAATACGTATGACAAGGAGACTGCCCACAATTGTATTCCCAAGTGAAAATTAATCTGATGTGCTCTGCAGTTCTTGTTGGAGAAAATAATAATGGTAATATATGAGGAGGGAAATACTTTAGTGTTCACCATTGTCTTCATCCAAGAGTCCACCTACAATGAGGCTGCAACAGCATTCAAAATAGAACTTCAACGCTGAAATTTTTTTTCTTCCTAAAACCTTAAAAACCCCCTGTATTATCCCTTTACTGATTTAAGAAATGAAACTTTTTTCAGTATAATTCAAAGTATAGTTCTATATGTGCCTGGTATAAAGAATTCCTACTATTCTTCAAAGCTGTGATTTTCCTCTGTAAATTTGGTCTTCTCTGTCATCTTAGTTTCCCAAAATGCATCATCTGATGGTCCATTAGCTGTGTGAAGGACAGAACCTGTTCCCTTCAGTGCCAAGCAGGGAATTAGTGTTCAGTAGGAATCTCATGCGTGAGAGGCCCATCTGGGACTGGCTGATGAATGGCTGTAGTCAGACTTCAGTTAAATTCATCCAAGCAATTTTAGAATGGTAAACATTATCTATGGGTTATATGGCTTTTGATTACGTTAAAGCAATTATTTCTTGGCTCCTGTGAAACTTTGGAGATGAGGAAATGTTCACACAGGCCTGTATAAAACAAATTGCTGATTCCAGCTTCCGGTGGCGGGCAGAGTACCAGAAATTGCCCTGCCAGAAGGGAACTACCTAAAGTTACCTTCCCCTGGGTCTGGGTTCTTTGGTCACTGACAAGGATTGGCCTTAACTAGTCCTTTCTTCAGTAGGTGCACTAGCAGTCTCCTTTTTTTCTGCTTTAGTCCTTGTTTCCATGAAATGCATGAATGGGATCTCATTTTCCTTGGACAAAATTAGCAAATAAGTTTGTGATTCATTAAGAAAACTCATCCATCCCCAAGAACACAGTGTTGTTGTCTGCAAGTGATTTCCCTAGGAAAGCAGGCTAAGAGTAGTGGTGCTCAGGCTTTATCCTTTCTGCAAATTAACTCTATTCTGACTAGTCAGTGTCCTTCAATGTGAGACCTGTTTGTGAAAGATGCTTTGCCCCGATGGCATTCAGCAATAATGCTTATTCTAGGGATATTTCAAAAGTGCTCATGACACAATCGATCATAAAAATGTGTAGTGGAGGGCATATAGTTTACACAGCAGCCTTAAACCTTTATATTATTTCCTCACTGAAAGTAAGTCCCTTTTATAATCTGTTACACGATGCTTTGTTGTAATCTGTGTCTTCTGAGTTTACAAATGAGTTTTCCTAAAATGAAGCAGTTCAAAGTGGTGCAGCTGCACAGCACGGGGACCGTTCTTGCCAGCAGCGTGTCCCTCCAGCAGCCGGGCTGTGCTGTGCCCGCAGCTCGGCGGGACTGGCTCTGTCCAACACCACCTCGGTCACCTCCCAGGAGCAGTTGGCGTGGCCACGCTCAGGACTCCTGAACAAAAGGTCGAGATACACTGAAGAAAGGAACTTTGTTTCTCCAGGGGATATCAGTCTGCTTGTGGTTTAATGAACGCTTTAATTAAACATCTGAACATGTTTCTATTAAGGTTTATATAATACTGATTTTTTTAAGCCACGTTTAAAGACAGTGTAATTTTAGATTAATTTTATTAAGCTAGTGTAAATCTCCTGTGACTACTTATTTCTACCTAGCAAGGTACTGTAGAAGCAGGAAAACATGTTGCTTTTAGCATGCATTTGTTAATTGTTTTTAGCTAATTTAAGAAATACTTGCTTAAACGAACACCCAAACCACCTCCTGTGTGAATTTAAAGTCACTTTTTTATTTTAGACTGTTTGCTTCCATTGATGGTGTTCAGGTTCATTCCTTGAGCTGGGGGAAGATGAGAAATGTTCCCTCCAGGCGCACATGGCCAGGAGCCGCGAATGTTCAGTTATGTGTGCGATAACCGCGCTCGTACGGAGCCCTTGTGCTGGTGCGTAAGTCCCGCGGGGAGCGGGGAGCCGGGAGCCGCAGGGCTTGGAGCGGCAGCAGGGAATACGAGAAATAAGACTTTTCCCCCCCGAGACGAGGCGTTCGGAGCGCTGCCGCCCTGCCAGCCCCGCAGTGGCAGCCGAGCCGTCGGGACGGGACGGGACAGGACGGTTCCCGCACGGGCCCGCGGCCGGCGCTCGGTGCCTCAGCCGCGCCCGGCCTGCCCGCGGGCTGGGCGGGCCGGGACGGGGCCGGGCTCCCCCGCATTTCGTAACCGGCCCCGGGGAGGGCTCAGCCCGCCCGCCCCGCCCCGGGACCTGCGGCGAGGAGCGGCCCCCGACCCTCCCCCGCCGCTGCCGCTCCCCTCCCCCGGCCGGCGGAAGGAGAAATAGTCCTGCCCGCATTGTTCGGTCCCGCACAACTTCGGGTCGTGCCGGGGAGCGGGTGGCGGGGCCGGGCGGGCACGGCCAGCGCCGCTTCCCCCGCGGGGCCGCCCCGGGGCAGCGGGACCCGGCGCGTCCGGACGGGCTGGGCGCGGGCTGAGTCCGGGGATCCCCGGAGATCCCCGGGGCCGGGCGGGGTTCGCGCAGCCGGAGGGGCCCCGGCGGGGCCGCTCCTGCAGCTCCCGGCGGGCCCGGGGTCTCTGGCCGAGGTCACGGCCCCGCTGTGCCCGGCCCGGTCCTGCTGCGGGGCCGTCTCCCTTGGGCCCTCCCGCCGCGATTTCTCCCTTCAATCGCCGCCTTTTTACCCTCCCCCGCTTCCCCCAGTCAACTTTTGTAGGAATTCCTCCTGTGAAGCGGTCGAGCTAAAGCTTCTACCCACTCCCTGCGCAGCCACAAGCACTTGGCGAGCACTTTGTCAGCAGCAGGAACAAGTGAAGTGTACAAGCAGCAGGAACAAGAACAGTGCCCCACAGAAACAGGTTTTGACTTTGCAGTAGTCGCTCTGCATGTGCTCTCTGATCACCTCCTAAGTACTACTCTTTGGTGACGAGTTTTCACCATTGTAGCCTTCTGCGAATGTTCTGAATCTTCCATATCGTAGAACAAGTTACATAATATATATGTTATATAATTTTAATTACCGCGAGGTAAATATAGCAGGCAGCAAATTCAGTTATCTGTAAGATGGGCTGGACTGATAAGAGCACGCACTGCGCAATCAAGAGGCTTGGGCACAGGAGCACAGCTGTATGTAGGATACTTTTCCGAAGTCCACTTTGGATGGAAGGCAGTGTAGGAAGAACACAATGCCTCCCCAAGAGCTTCATCCAAAAGTTTCATGTATTACAACAAAAATATTTACTTTTTTTACTGGCTTGAGTCAGATTCTAGGTGAATCCAGTGAGAAAATGGAATTGCTTTGTCCACGCCAGTTGCAGGAAACAAGGTTGTTTTCTCCTTATTGCTGACTCCAAATGAGCATTGCTGTCTGTACTGGGAAGTCTTCTGGAAGTAGTAGAAGGGATTCGGTGTTTTAGGTGAGAGTGGGAATTTGTTGTAAGAAACCAAACAAGAACAACAACAAATTGGAGCAGGAAAGAAGCTTTGCTGACTTTTCTCCAGGGCTATGGATTTGCTGAGCAATAGCATTTATCATGGACAAATTGCTGGCTGTGGATGCAAGCTGAGCACATACATATTGATTTAAAGGAGCCATTGCAGTGAGAACTTCATCCTCGGTCAAGTGCTCTGTTGGGGAACACCCCAGGAGTTTATACAGATTGGGTGGTGGTAGTGGATTAATTCAGCATGTGTAAATTTAAGAATAAATAAACCAAAAGGAGACATGCAAGCTTAATGATTCTATTCACACAGGCATGATACATTAAATAGTAATACAGAATACATTTTCTCACATCCCTGAATGCACAACAGCTGTCTGCTGTATCAAATATTTTTCCTTTAAGGAGTGGGTGGAAAGCAATTCATGAAGGCTGTGAAAACCGTGTATGAGTGTGATTATTTTCAGGGAGTTGTACTCAAGTGATTTGGGTTTTATATTCCTCTTAATTTTTTTATGTCCTGTACGTAATTCCTCATTTTCATGGTCACGGTGAAGCATGCAGAAGAATGTTGCCATCGCCATCTGGCAGCTAGCAATTCCCTGATTGCTCTGGTTGGTTGCTGACCATATTGATGTTGATAGATCAGCTGTCAGGGCAGTTACCATAAAGATTTACAGTTGCATTGTGTGTTCTGTCAGTGTCTGGAGTTCACTGATGACTTTGTGTGCATGGATTTACCTGCCTATTACTTGCACTACTCCGTGACAGGCTGAAGACTTCTCTCAGGAATGGGTATTTATCCACAAGACTGATAAATTCATTTATCCTAGTAGATCTCTGTACTATCCATCTGATCTGTTGCTCCCTACAAAGTGAAGACCTTTTATTTTTAAAGACGTGAAAGAAAGAAAGGTGTAACAGTTGCAGAGGGTGTTTTAGCCTGGTGTGTTATGTACAAGGAAGATGCTGCTGTGTCATGGAAAAGTTGGAAGTTCTTAATTTTTGTGGGTTTTTTTTTGTGTAATGTTTGCTGCATTTGCACATGTACAAGGAAATAATCATATCTAGGAATTGCAGCAGGAATCAGACTGAAGTATTTTATTTGTTGCAAATTGGAAACTGTTGTACTTGTCTGAACCAGGTTTCAGACACTGATTTCTGCAAATATTTTAAAATATTTATAAAGCTTCTAGAGAGGTAAAAGCAGAGATTTCGTTTTGGCTTTTGGGGGGAGGGGTGTTGTTTTGTTGGGGTTTTTTTATTTGGCTTGATTTTGTATGGATTTTTTTCTGCTTGAATGTTGACCACGTTGGTTTCTGTTTCAGTTTCTGCGGATGACTATGACAGGATAAGGATGTGAAATGCATTTTTTTTTTCAAGCTCCTATCTTTATGGTGAACAGGAATAATTTATAATAATTTATAGGGAGTGGCAGAGCTGAAAGGATTCTAAGTAAGTAACACCTTGAGAAAGAGGTGGAGATTCTGAGAATAGGTGAAAGACAGTATAGACAAAGAATATTGTGCCTCGATGTTTTGGGTGTACGTATTAGTTCTAATCAGTGTTACATGAAAAGGAGTTAAAAACTGAATAGGTTAAAGATCCCAAGTCTCACCAGTGTGGCAGAATATTTTCAGTACCCAGGAAACATTAGGTTAAATCACTTTAGAATTTTACTGTAATGGAGGATGTGATAGTTACTGATCTTTCACAGCACTTTTAGTTGAGCTACCTGCAGGAGTATGTTCTGAAATTTCTGAATGGGCCAACTCATTACAATTTTATCTCCCCAGAGCAAACTCCTTTAGGTCAGACTCCCAGTGTATTTTGGGCCAAAGCATACCTTCCCTGAGGCCTTGTGTACTTACTAAGTTGTCTGGCATAACTTCTGGAAAGTTCATTTATGTTCTGATAACTTTTTATAGGTGCCTGGAAATGAAGTTCTTCTAAGAGGGCCAGCAGCCCGTGGAGGTGTAATGCAAAAGAACGGCTGCTACAAAGTCACTTTTGGTACTGAGCGTGTTTACTCAGCATCTGCACGAGAAAGTGACATGTCATTGTGGAGCAAATGGAACATCTTGTGGTATTTTGTGTAACTTTAAACCTTGTGCCATGAATTACGTGGATATGTCATCTTCCAGTCGAAGTTTCTAACTGCAAATAAAGGCCTTAAAGTGTGAACCTTAAAATCTGATGTCAGAAGGCAAATACAAGGTATTCTATTTGAAATTAAGTTATAATTTTAATGCAATTACACATCAGCACAAATAATTGTTAGCGTTATTGCTTCCACCTTCTTTACATTTAGTCAGTTTTTTTGAGCAATGCTTATCAGCCTGGCAGCTGTGCTGGCACTGAGTGCCACTACTGGTTAAAAAGTAACGCTTCCAGAGAAACAATATCTTCATAATATGTAAATAGCAGATCTTCCTTGTAACAAAAATATGTTAAAGAAAGTTCCTCACGAAATGATCTCTGTCACTGGGTACTTTCCTCTAAAGTGAAGTGATATTTATACATCAAAGAGAAAAAGTACATACTTACATCCCTCAGGGGCACAGAGAATGGAAGTCATTGTGTTGATATTTTAATACAAATTGCTTCCTGAATTTCTAAGTGGCAAATATATGAATATTCATAAAATCACGAGGCCAAATGATCATCCAGCACCCGGCATATATGGGAGAAAAATGGAGGAAAGTCTCCAGTTTGTTTTTGCCTGGGGGTGGTTTGTTACCACATTCCCCTTCCTCCGGAAGATGTCACAGCCAGGGCCTGGGGGGGGAAGAGTTTATTTGGAAGGGCTGGGTGTGTGGCTGGAGAGCCCTGTGTACAGCCTCCTGCCTTCCAGAGCTGGGGGACTGCCAAGCAGCATCCTGTAAGGGATGCGTGCTGCTCCACACAGCACGCCTTTCCTTGCCGTGCCTCCTGCCTCCCTGGAGCCTTTTAGTTTCTCCGGGATTTTAAATATCCTTGTTTCATTGTCCTCTTGTTTTCTAAGTCCTCTTGCTCCAAAAGAATAACACGCCAGAAGCTGCATAGATTATTACTTTATAATTCTCCCTTTCAGCGGGAGGGGTGGGTGGCCCTCGGTAGCCGGGGTCAGAGAAGAGCAGGCCCAGCCCCAGGTGGTGGCAAGTAGGTGCCACCTGGGGGCTCTGCAGGCTCGGGAGACGGTCGTGGAACGGAGCACGGGCATCGCACCGGCACCGCACCGCTCGGTGTCGGGGAGAGCCGCCCTCGCCGCAGGCCGGGACGCTGCTGTGCCGGAGTGGCTCAGGCACGAAATAAACTTCCCAGCAGGACAGGCTGGCAGTGCCGTTTGGTGAGGGGGAGACGGAGCACAAAAGAGTGATTTGTTTGTAGCAGTGGCAGGACCCAAATGAGGGCGCGGGTTCTTCACCCGCTGGTTCTCATTTCTGCACGGAAGCCGTGAGGCTGGTTCAGCTTTAGCATCACCTGTTTCAGAGAACTGCAGAGTTTGAGTGTGTGTTCTTGCACTAACAGCCATGTTCTTGTGCTTTGAAACGCTGTGGTTTTAATGGTATGTATTTAAGAGGAAGCTGCTAATGAATGCTTAAATATTTATGTGGTCTATATGCAGTTTTATTTTGCGCAGTAAGGCTGTATATTGCTACATAAAAAAGTATTAAGGCATATTTTAGGGGATGGGGAGTGCGATCATGTATTTTGGGGCACGTGCGTTGCCGGCAGTGCTACATGTCGAGGTTTGCTGGCGGGTACGGTCGAGTTGGGGAGCGGTGGGGAGGGGTCCGTTCCCGTGCGCTGCGTGTTATCTGCGAGCGGCCCGGGGGGGGTCCCGCTCCTCCCCCGCCGCTGGGGAGTGCCGGGGCCGAGGCGGGACCCGGTGCAGCCCCCGAGTGCTCCCGCGGGTCCCCGCCCGGCCCGGCGGGAGCGGCGCGGCGCCTTAAGGGTTAAGGCGGCGGCGGCGCGGAGGGATACGGAGCCGGAGCCGCGAACGTGGTGCTGAGGCTCTGTAAGCAAAAAAATGTCCGCCTGAGGGAACCCACAAGTTCCTTCCAGCGGGGGGGGGAGCGCTCGGCTCGTCGCCTCCCACCCAGCCCGCGGCCCGCCCGCCGCCGCCGGCCCGGCCCTGCTCACCGGAGCGCGCGGGGGCAGCGGGTGAGTGCGGGCGGCCGCCAGAAGTTGGGAAGAGAGCGGCGGGGTGGGGGGGGTGGGAGGGGGTAGGGAAGCGGCGGCCGGGGCGCTCGCAGGGGCAGAGGCGGCGGGCGAGGGGACGGGGACGGGGCCGCGGGCGGGCGCGGGGCGGCGGCGGCGGGGAGGCCGCGGGGGCGCCGCTGAGGGACCCCGAGGGGCGGGTGGCGGGGCGGGCGTGCGGCGTGTGCGGGGCTCTCCGGGCCGCGGACCGGCGGGGCGGGAGCGGGTCCCCCGCGGGCGGCGCTCGGCGTCTCCCCCCCGCTCTCATAAAGGCCCGGGCGTGCTCCGAAACTTGGCCGGGGCTGCGGGGCCCCCGCCGCTCCCCCGCCGGCACAAGGGAAGAGCGCGGGCCCCTCCCGCTCCCTCTCGCCCCCCCCGCTCCCGCCGCACGCGCATTCCACACGCACCCCCCCGCCCGGCGGCGCGCGCGCCCGGTCCCGCGTGCGCGCGTGCGGCGCGCGGGGGCGGCTCCCGGCCCGCCGCGGTCCCGAGCGCCGAGCGGCGGCCGCGGCCCCCGGGGAGGGGAGGGCGGGCGGGGAGAGGGGCAGCCGGCACCGGCGGTGGGCGATAATGCCGGGGCGGAGATGGCTCTGCTGAGGCTCGTCCGGCCCCGCTCGTCAGCCCCATTGTTGCGGGGACAGTGAGTCACTTAATCTCTCGCTAATTCTCCGGACCTCGCCGGGGCCGCGGCTGTTTGTTTGCTTTCGCTTGCCTGGGGGGGACCTAATTCCTGGCGGCGGCGGCGGCCTCGCTTTGCGGCGTGACCGTGGCACGGTAGAGGCTGGGAGAGAAGTGGAATGAAGGAGAAAAGGGAGCCTGAGGAAACTTGAGGAGAGTTGGTTAGTTCGGGGGAGCTGCCGATCCCGTCAGCCCGCCCGGCCGAGCGAGGCTCCCCTGGGAGCCCCCACCCCGTCCCGGGGGCGCAGGTACCGGAGGCCCCCGTTCGCCGCGGGCCGGTTCCCGCGGGGAAGTGCTGCCTGTGCCTCTCTCCTTGTGCCCTAGAAGGTGATCGGAGCAGCGGAGGAAGATGAATTCCCAGCAGCAGAGGATGGCCGCTATAGGAACTGACAAGGAACTGAGCGACTTGCTGGACTTCAGTGCGGTAGGATATTCTCCGAGGTCTTCTCATGACTTCTCCGTGGTCATGCGAAGTGAGGAGTAGGGGCAGCAGCGTGCAGGGCTTGGCTGGCTCTGCCTCAGCCAAGTTGGACACCTGAACTTTGATGTAATGTCTAGACTTCCAGATTTAATACGGTAATACCAGCTGGGTCAATTGGTTTAACTGGTTAAAATCAGGCTGACCCAGTGATGGCATAATCTAATAATTAACGTTTGTTAAGCTGGCGTGTGGCGCTGGTACTTTAACTCTTTTTTTTTTTTTTTTTTTTGGTTAAACAAAAGAAAATTTATTGCCCACAAATAACAGCATTTATTCATTGATGGTTTTGGCTTAGAAAATTATAGATATTTTCTGTGTGATACTTTTAACAGATTTGCAAAAATGTTCCTGATTTATAAACACAATGGAAAACTACTGCTTCTTAAATGCTGTCTTTATCCAGTGACTTTATACTTGCAGATCAGTAAGAAACATAATTTGAGTAGCAAAATTTAAGATATATAACTATTTGAAATTGTCATATTACTAGTAGGTGTCCTTTTAATTTTTTAAGTTGTTCGTGTTCATGCAGAAGGGAGATTTTAGTGGTGTTGATAAATTGCAAGGAGTACTTCATTTATTGGTTTTGTGGATCTAAACTGCATCTTGCATTCTGTTTATTTTCAAGCAGAAATTAGAAAACAGAAATGGTTTCATATTAACCTTTCTTTCAGTTTACATTAATAATTCATCACAGACTTTCAAACCCGATTAAAATGCATATTTTTTTCCTGTTTTGCAGATGTTTTCCCCACCTGTTAATAGTGGAAAAACCAGACCAACTACGCTAGGAAGCAGCCAGTTCAGTGGATCAGGTAGGATGCACCCGAGATACAAAATGTTCACCTCACTAGGTCTTGTTGTTTCAGCACAGTCTTCACGTGCTCAAAGTAATCTTTCATTTGTACATATTCTCACAAGATCCTCAGATCAGTTACAGATGTGTTGTTTTGATCTTAATAACGGATTTTGCCAACTTTAACCACAGTTTTCCTCCGTGTGTCTTAGACTGTTTGTCCCAGTGCAGCGAAGTGTTGAGTCTCTGTAGCCATACTGACATGGAAGTTGTCTGGTTGTTATATTAAAAATGAATGACTGTGTTGGTTTGGTTTTGAGAGAATCAAACCTACCTGCTCAGCTGAAGTATTTTCTACCCCCCTGTGTGAAAGGAGAAAACACTGGAGTAAAATGCCAAATAATGGAATACTCCTGACTCCAGGATATTATATTTTAAAATGTATTTTTAAAGGCATCTATTAAGGGAAATGTAAGTTTGATACAATTTTCTGGTACTGTGTAGTTATCAAAGACTTGACAAGTAGAATTCTCTGGTGTTGAAACTTTATCAGTGCCATCTGGAAAACAAGTAACAGTATTTACACCTTACATGTGTTTTGTGGCTTCAGTGTATTTTCATGAGTCTTCCTAATAGCTGTGTCAGAGACCTTTCAGATAAGCCTGTAAGAGGAAATAAGTGCAAATTTTAAAGATACTTTGTATCATTCCCTAAAGGCTATATTATTACTTATCAAAAGAGAAACTTAAGTAAGTTTTTGATTAAGTTACTTTTTATGTGGGCTCATCTTGTTTGAATACAGTGAAATGATATTTTTGTTTTTATGAAGACAACAAAGTGATGTTTGTATTTTAGATAATGAAAATAAATATTTAGAATGCCAGTAGAGAAGCAAAGTAGTGGCTTGAAATTGTGGGGTAACATCCCCTGCTTGCCTCTTACATTGTCATAGCTCTTACTTGGAGAGTCCAATTGGCACTCTGCTTTTTAGTGACACTTGAGAATTTTTGTTTTTAATTGTGTAATTTTTCAAACTTTTCGGAGACTACCTGCCA